TCCTCTAGAAGGACCAGAACCTCAACGTTGCAATTCCGGTGGTAGAACTCCTTGGATGGGTCCATCCTGGATCTTCTATCAGTGCTTTGAGCACGTCTTATACATCCTGTCCTACAATGCCAGTGCCAGATCCTTCCACGGAACCCGCTCTACTGAATAAGATCATGCAGTGCAGCCGATTTCGCGTCTCCTGTCGTCACCAGTAGAAGGGAAAACCTCGAAAAAAAAGAAGAAAAAACTTCGATCGCTACGGGTTGCTTCACCTAATTAACCCACAAAATAGCAAAATGATTCGACTCAAATTTGACCAAACAATCACTTGCAGGTGCCGACCAGTAGAAATACAACCAAGATTACTGATTTTATGTTGTCAAATAGGTAGGTAATGACCTTCTCAACAGTCTATCTGCTGGCGAAGCCACTATTCAAAAGTATTTCCCATGAAGCTTTGCTAGAAAAAGAAATACGAGATGAGCTTTTTCTTGTGGGCTTTGTTCGTCACAGTGAATCATCGGTCAGTAATTCAAGCTGAGCTAATGGAAAGATGTTCGGGATTGGAAACAAAACATCGCTGCGTGACTCAGCCAAAACAGCATGGATTGCCTTCAAATTGGCGCATAATTTTATTTCTTCGATTTTCTCGAGTTATTACGTATAGGCGCCCCTGAAAAGGGTTCGAACATAGTTTGCCGTTATGATGTAGGGGTTCAAGCAAAATGCGTGCATGCTCAAGTTAGAAAGCACCGATGGTGAATTCTTCCCAGATCTCTTGTGGCTAGAAACACTGTGACAAGAAAGGGTGTAAACAGGGCCAACCCAGTTGCTCCGGTTCTTAAAATGTGACGAGAGGTCGTCTTCCCTTAGATGGGTTCGATACGACTCCCTACCACCACAACCAGCCATATAGGAGTTCCCCAAACAGCGGTCACCATTCCACATTCCCGACACCGCCGTTTCCATAGTATTTTATTGTGAAACCAACCGACTTCCGTCGAGCGGGAAAGGTAGGGGGGGGGTAAATTCTTCTGGATAAACGGCAAACCCCCAAACCACTTCATGCTTATATTTTCATATTTTCTCCACCCCTCGTTGAGAACTACGACTACGCAATGCACGGTTAACCTTGTTTGTAACTCTCAATGATCGTCCAAAAATAGGATAGCCTTCTTTCTAAGTGCATCTTTTCGAAGATGAAAATTGCTCGAGTTCCCCTCTAAGCTCCGGCAAGGCATGTATTTTGTAAATGAACAATTAAATAAACAATTAAACTGAAGCACATATAAATAGATTTTCTAGTAGTACCTTTGCCAAAGGTGACCACTGTTTCTGAAATCGATTTCCTAGAGAACGCCACAGTGAATTTGCTGGTGGAGAAGTTACGCAAGGACATCGAGAGTTTGAAGCGTCAGAGTGAATTCGGATTCCAAAGGTGAGTTGTCTAGCTTTCCCTATCACATTTTAACCATAAATTTTTACTTTCTTTGCTTCATACCACCAGTGTGGATCTGCACGGAGGTGAAGGGTGTGGAAAAGTTCGCATGTTAGGGGAGTGCACCCAACAGGAGTGCTGAGAATGAGAATTGAATTTGAAGAATGAGAATTAATTGAGTGAAGTTTGTAAACCGATTAACTAGGACAAGGATCTCGTCAGGGGCCCATCCCGTGTTCCGGTGGTGTTTGAGGCCTTACTGCCGGTGACGGTGTAGGACCTAAAGGCTTCCACCTCAGCTACTTTCTGTTCTTCAATACTATCTTGCTGTTGTTCCCTTTATCGTCAACTCTTTTTCCGTC